ACCCTGTCACTCTTGAGCTGCTTCCCGAGTGCCGGCAGCGCCCATGCGGAGTGAATATAAAAAAAGAATTTGATTTTCGACAACTATCGCAGCATTTTTATATCTTTGATCACCATTTTCTTGGATAATACTAGCTCCCTGCTTGCTGCACGAAAAAGCAGACGTCATCAGTGCGACCAATCACTCACCGGACATTACCCATCTCCTCCCATTAACATTAATGGCTGAACGGTGCAGCAAGATTTTCGGCCTTCAATAAATGATTAAATTTTGCTTGCATTCATCAAAAACTGGTTTTGGACGGCAAGCTATTTATGTCACATTGTCCACTCTAATTAGCCCAGGCGGGAAGCTACTACGAAGCAGCAGAACGACCAATGGAACGAGGGGCGGAGGACGATGACAGCACTAGCCGGTCCTTTTATTTGGGGTCCTTATTCCTATTTATGCATCATACAAACTAATTATTCATGCAGTGCAGCAAGACACCAACCCACTGGAATTCCACCGTTCCGTCAATCTCTTTTAACGGAACAAAAGGCCCCCCCGCTGCTTTTTCCGTGCCTTCCCTCACAATTCCCTCAAGTCCCACTGTAAAATTTTAACACTGTGTTTGCACTACAAAAGACAAAGATCGTTTTGACGCAAGTCTGACAGGATGTCCTCAACCCATAGACGCCTTGACTTAGTCCCGCAATTACCAAAAAAGGAGTGTTCAAATATCCGAAAGAGGAAACATAATAGGACTATGTATTTCAGTTCTTAAACTAAAGCACACGATAAACTCACGGAATTTCAGCTTCCCAGCTCTGCATTAGTCGCTATTCTTATTGTACTGCACTCGTGGAAATAACACAGATTGGTTTAGCTTAGGTTCAAGTACTGGATACCTCAGCATGTTTTGCTTGCTAAGTTCCATACATGAGAAATGCGCGACATTTTCGCGATCAGTAGGTCAGTTATATCTTTGAAGTGTGTTTCAGAATGTCATGAACGAAGGCGGTGCGTCAAGTATCAGCGGAACGGCAGAAGCAGCTGCAACACTCGTTTCACTGAAAACCGACAAGCACGAATCACTGTCATTATCATCATCATCATCATCTCTGATGACGGATGGTGATTACGATCTGATCGGATGTGAAGTCTGCTTCGA